AGGGCAAGAGCGGGGGGGGGGTAGAGGGGAACGTGGGGACAAGGACACATATGTAATTTCTTAATCAATAAAAAATATATTAAAAAAAAAACAAAATAGTCAAGGGCATGTAAGACACAGCATAGGGATTAAGTCAATAACTATGGGCAGTGGCCGGGGGGATTGGAATCATCAGTTCACTTCGTAAATTATACAAATGTCTCACCACTATGCTGTACGCCTGAAACTAATGTAATCCTGAATGTCAACAGTCATTGAAAATTTTAAAAATTTTTAAGAAGTAAACATTTTTTAAAAGGAAAAAAGAAGAACCAAGGGTACGTCACTAGGGTGAGGGAAGGGCGGATATGACCTGTGTTTGGGAGGGAAACAGGTAGATGAAGGGACAGGAGCAAAACATCAGAGGCCCACCCATGGCAGAGGGAGTCTAAAAGCGCCCCTGGGTGAAGAAGGCGGCTAGGAATGTAACGGAACAACCCAGGGGTCCGGCTGCCTGTCACTGCTTGAGCCAATTAAGCAGAGACAGGGTTGAGTCATATATGAGCATTTGTTCCAAAGATGCTGGCAGAATGGGAGAGATCCAAAATCTGCTCTGCACCCCCAATAAGCCAGCTGCTTACATTGGTTAGAAGGGCAAAGATTACGTGGGAAAGTAGGCACAGGATGATCATTACAGGTTACAAGTCATATGGACTGGCGGGGGGTCGGGGGGACAGGGGGTGAGGAGGAGAGGAGCGAGAGTCACAGAGTGCGGGGGTTGGGGGGTGTGCCTCCGGGCACCCTGGGACCAGATTACAGGTAACAGGGCCTGGGGTTGTAGGAGCAGGTGCATGTGGGACTAGGTTGGTTCAGCCACAAGGTCGTAAATTTGGGACAGGAGGATGGACGGCATTCCGATGATGGCTCCCAGGTCCCAGGGCGTACAGCTCCCAGCCAGGTGAGAGTGTGCTTTCTCTAAGCAGAACAGAGCCATCACGGTTAACAGAGCATGGTTAGTGTTTCTTATAATGATAGTTAGTTTCCAATATTCCATTTCTGCCCCTAACAGGACCAGTGAGGACGAGGGCAGGGGCAGGAGGCTGTGTGGTTGGTCAGGCGGAGAGAGGGGCAGAGATACCACCTCCCCCTCTGCCCTGTCCAGTCCCTACACCACCTGCGGAGCTCCTTGGGGCCTGGGCAAGGCCGGGAGAGGGGCCGAGGGCTTGGGACCTCAGAGAGGTGGGGTGCAGGTGTGGCTGAAACCAGCTGGGAGGGTGGGGCACAGGAGGCCATCTAGTGAGACCCTGAGGGACAGGGCAGGCACCCACACTTAGGCACCCTCTGGGGGCACAGCGAACTGTTAAGAAAAGAGAAAAGGCCCTGATAGAACATTTGAACCTGAATTTGCCTAAACATTCACCCCCAAATGACGGACTTCACCTGACAAAGTGGGTTTTCAATTGCAAAAGGCTGATGTACCTACCTTAAGGCAAGTTTGTTTCTTTTCAGCAAGATGGCGTTCCCCTCCCCCCAGAAGAAGGTTGGGGCATTTACAAAACGAAGCAACCCCACCTCTGGCTCCGGGAGCTAGGGTGCTCCTTCGTTTCTGGCTCTCTGGCTCCAGAACACACACAGCGTCCCCCGGGGGGCAGATCCATTTCCTCACCCGCCTCTCCTGGGGCTTCTGTTTCACAAGAGCTGCTGTGGTAAACACCACCCCTAGCCCAGTGGCTGGCCTAGTCCAAGGCCACAGGACTGAGGGAAAAGATCAGGGAGACCTGGCTGGCACAGCTGCCCGGCTTGCACACACTCAGAGAGACACACATCTCAGCGCAGGACTGCACTATAGGCTCAATCCCACAGACAGGTCCTGCCATTGACCAGCTGTGTGGCCATGGGCAAGCCACCAGCCTCTAGAAGCCTCAGTTTCCTCATCTGCAAAATGAGAGAGTCAGGGACCACCGTCCTAGATCTTAAATCATGGGGGCCAGTTGTGTTTTGGAGTTTCCCATTTTGGGGGTGCAGATATAA